TGAAAATACTTGCAAAAGACTTATCTTTCGGCCCCAAATTTTAATATATACTCCACATGGACGCCCAACAGGAAATGCTTCGACATTTGCCTCTTAGGGCGTGACAGAACGTCATGGGTACTCAGTATATATTTGTTTGGTACAACAACCGTCTATTGACGGGTTTTCTACTGCACAAACGCCATAAGTTAGCAAAACAGAATTTTCAAAGCTGAATCAATCGTTTGTTATTTGAAAGCAATGTGATTCCTTCTGTCTGCCTTTACTTCAGTTTTATGGACGAACAAGCCCACCTTAAATTTCCAGAAGGAATTTACTAGAAAATTTTGTTGCTCATTTTCATGTTCTTTTATAACACAACTTTCATAAGCAGTAGGCTTCGGCATGTGACACTAAACAGCGTAAGAAACTGTTTGGACGTCAGAAAACACGCAACCTTGGGTAAATTTGACCTGTTTTACTTTCATAGAACATACTTGAAACGATCTTTTCCTTGGTCATGTGCTTTCTGCGCCTCAAATAAATTTAGTACACAAAGTTACCATACTAAATGTATACGGTCCTACGGTCTTAAATACCGATCACGACATTTCGCGTGTTATATCACCTACGCTGCATTCAATACAATAAATATTATATCTCGCAAACTTCTGACCGAAATTCTGACAAGTGTTTTGATTTTGAAAGGATCGCCTAAGCGGGACTGTAATAAATAATCATTGTACAACAAAACCCAAAAATATTCCAGTCAAGTCTTGATCGCGCCGTTTGATTTAGCCTTTTTTGCGGCCACCTGCATAAACGAAAATGGACAAATAGTGACTCCTTACGCCGTGGGACAATTTTCCTGCTGCTTTCAAATGTTCCTATAAATTCAAATAAATTTTCTAGAAATCATGGATAAAATACTGTTCTTACTATGCTAGTTAAGAATTGTTTTGAAGTTTTGTAGTAAATGAAAAGGCTTTGAAAAGTTTCTAATTATGATATCTTTTAAAACCGTAAAGTGGTCGTTCATACGGCATCTTGTCAGCACGATCGTTAATGCCGCTTTTGTAGCAAGAAACAAGCTCCAAGTCGTCACAACATTTAATTAGCCTTACGTGACAGTTTCCTAACAGTTTAGAGAATTATAAGATTTTCTCTTCACTGGAAGCATGCAGCATTGAGATTTGAAACCCTAAACATAAGCGTGATTGGGGATCGGGTTCAAAATCACTTGGCAATAGATAAGCCTTAAAGTTGAAAGATGCTCTTTCTTTAAATAATACCTTCAAGCAGAGCAATCTCCCAGCAAAAAAGCTCTGGGAAAAATAATTTTATATGTCTTATCTGTAAAACACACATGGATTTGTAAGGGCATCGAAATCGATGATTAAAATTTCCAATACTTGGATCTTCCATTTTACTGAGTTTGTTTTATGCTGTGGCCGGGCAGAAGCCCATTCGAAAACCGCATCCAAGAGTGACGTAATTAGTGTGGCATTGTGCTTCACAGTAATTGATATTGCAACATCATCCAAGTGATCCTTTCCAGTCGAAAATACATTTTAGAATTTAGATCAGCATTTTCCGAGATAACCCACCTTTTGCATATGCATCAACTATGATAGGTAAATAAAGCCCTTATCAGTCTCTATTACAGCATCAAACGATCTTCGGGACGACTAATCACTTTGGGCAGGCGATTCTTACTTATTTTGGACGTAACTCCTTGATGGTCAAGCAGTGAGAGCCGTGATACCCTACCCCCTGGCATGCGCGTGGCACTAAAAACTCTCTTGGTCACTGCATGCAGTTGTTTTGAAGCCGCTTAATACCGCAATCCGGACTGAGGGCGGTTTAATTTGAATGATCCCTTGTGACATGTGAACAAGAACATGCGTGCCAAAATATGGGAATATATGCTGGATCTTCTACCCTGTGTCTGTGGAGGCAGAAGATTTTAATCGCCTGGAGGAGATGACTGTCCTGATAGAGCCGTTAGAGATTAATCACATGTTCGGTCCGAAACACAACTTCTTTACTGCGCCCATCTAACACGTTGACCGAAATCATGCAGTTATTGGCCACACCGACACAAAGAAGAAATTGTTCTGGCTGAATTTTTACCGACTGTAGCCCTAGGTGGTAAGGACATCGAGGTTGCTAAATAAAGCCATCGGCCGAGAAGATAAAATTGGATCTCGAAGTCCAGAGTAAAAAAAGATGGCCCTTCAGGCAGGCGGCGGTCGACTACACATTTAATCAGATGTAAAACCGTCCCAAATCTTAGTAACTTTTAAAATTTTTTCTGTCTGGCTAGGGCACCCCGCGGACGATCCTTATCACGTCTGTGATCAGAGCCGGGCTTCAAAAACGATCAACTCCGAGCTCTTATTTTAACGACAGCATACGGCTAGATCTGTCCGAAGAGGACTGAATTATAGTTCATGTGCAGATGCTCAGAGCCTGACCAATTCTGAGATTCAGTTTCCTTAACCATTTTAATGTTTAATTCGGGTACCATCCGCACAGTAGTGGGAGCCAAGACTCTCCTCATGTGGTACAGTTGATCATTATGGCCTTGATCCGTCCTTTCAGCAGAAATGCCCAGACACCGCTTAAGTAGACGCAGTTCGCAAATTAAATTTTTCCAGACAACGGTGGGATTTCCTCACACAAAACGTTGAATTTTTTAAAATAAAATTGGCTGACTAACACATGCTGAAAAAAAGTAGATAAACGACTACTTTAATCATTAAAATCCTTATACATACAGTGTGTGACCGATCTCATGAAATTTTGGCCAAAATTCTGGAATGCGATTCCGATTAGGAAGGATTACTTAAGTGGGGTTGTTATGCTGAATATCATGCAGCATAACCCTATAAAATTTCGGACTTGCCAGGATGTCGGCTTTTGAATGCTTTTTGTTTTGGCCTCCTGCAGAAACCACACTCGGTAAAAAATGACTACTAAAGTAACGTGCATTTTTCAATTGATTTTCGCTGGTCATATAAATTTAAGCATGTTCTATAGAAAACATGCACAAAAATGTGCTTTCCTTTGTTCATTGTGTAGGAAGTCACATTGTCTTCATATTTTATGCCCGAAGAAAGTATATATTTAGATTTTAAAAAGTTTCTAACTATGAAATTTTTAAGACCGTGCGATGTCAATGCATGCAAGACCGCACATGTCCGTTTACTGATGCTCCTCATGAAATGTGCAACAAAATTTAGATCCATTGCGAAATTTCATGAACTCTATGTGGTATCTTCTTAAAGACATTGAGGAATATATGATTTTCCTTACGCGGAAACCATGCCCCTTGTAGACTGTAATTGCTAAACGTCGATGCAATGGCATATTAGGCTGAAAATTATTCGAGAATTGGAAAACCTTTTTATAACCTAAACACACGCTTTCTTCAAGTATAAAATAGGAAGACGATGTGATTTCCTGCAAAATGAGCAAAAGAAAGCATATTTTTTATATGTGTTCTGTGTAATATATTTGAATTTATAGGACTATCGAAAATCAATGGGAAAAATCCATGCTACTTAAGCAGCCATTTTTTACCGAGTGTGGTTTCTGCAGGAGGCCAAAACAAAAAGCATTCAAAAGCCGACATCCTGACAAGTCCGAAATTTTATAGGGTTATGCTGCACGATATTCAACATAACAACCCCACTTAAGTAATCCTTCCTAATCGGAATCGCATTCCAGAATTTTGGCCAACATTTAATGAGATCGGTCACGCACTGTAAATAATAGGCGATGTGAAATTCAAATCCTGATTTGGTCAGAAGACCGAAAGGGATGTCAGGACGATTTCCTGTAACCAATCAAGCAAAAGGACGACATTCATTCGAAGAATTGTATTTGTGTTTCGACACTTGAGATATCGATTTCGATTGCTCATATTCCAATATTTATGATCATATGTCTGTACTGCAAGCACATTTTTGCATGGCAATGTCGCCAATAAATACGAACCGCAGCCTTCTTCTCGCCGGGGCAGAAGCGTCACGTCTTCACTGACCGTGACGATAACTGGCGGCCTGGACGGTTTTGCGTTTTGACTTCCCTTCTCTTATTAGGTCTGTAAGGCCCGGTAGGACGTAGAAAATTGTATGTACCGGTTGACAGCAACGCTCGCACTCACGTGACCTGGTCTGTGATTCCCTTCTCATCAGAGAGCATAAACTCCATAAAGTGTCGAAGTATCTTCGCCCTGTGCAGTAGTGTTGTCATCTGGGACTTCGATTCCAACCTCCGAACGATCACGCCGATGTTTGCGCCTCCACATTCACACCTCTCAGCAGTTTCACCGAAGTCAGTGGACAAGGACTGCCTTCTCTAGTCTTTTGGCTTCAGCACCTTTGAGCACAACATTGGTCTAGCCTGGGCTCGACATTTATTCCGGTTTAAGCCAAATGCTTCGCCATAGTGTGTATTAATTAGAGGTCTTACTCTACTTTCTTTGGGCAATCACTTTCTCTCAGCAAACTCTCCTGGGTAGGTAATTGAGTACAAAAACGCCTCAGAAACATTCGAATTCGTTTCGCTCGGTGAAAATCTTACTGGTATTGGTTTCCATTTAGCGGTGCAGTTACCACGGTTAGTCAGTTTCGTGTATACTGTTGTCGCCATTGGGCCGTAGGGATGGTGGCCATTGAAGAAGAATGTTAACGTCATGAATACCCGTCTTACGAGATTTTAAAAAACCGATTCGAAGGCGTGCTGAGAATTCGGCAGATGACTTGAATGTTAGTTGAATTGTGTTAAAAACTGAAGCTAACATGATGTCTGATGTAGAGTCCTATTTTAAAGACATAAAAAATCCCATTGACGGATAAAAACGACAGTAACAAGACAGTTCAACGACTTATAATGAAAACGAATGACGAAAGAGCAGCCTTTGGACTTTCAGTTCAAAAGATTAATCCATCAGCAGTCGGAGGGGACAAAGAAGCAACATGTATCAATGTCGTAAGCAGAATACTGAAGAGTAGTCAGGAAGGAACGAGAGACTGCATGCTTTTGCGACTTTTCTGCAAAAACGTGTTCTCAAACACGAAAAAAAGCAAAAGAAAAAATGTCTTCCTCAGGAAAAAATGTTAGACAGAGTGGTAAAGGAACTAAAGTGTGGACTGGATGGGTTGCAAGGCGACACACTTCTTTGTGAAATATCGATTTGAGCGCTGATAAAAAAGTGGTCAAGAGTAGTCAAAAGGTGACTTTAAAAACATAGTACGTTGAAGAGAAAGTAACACTAGGCAGGGATCCTATATAACCATACTGAACCTTTAACTGCCCGTTTTTGCAACCCAAAACGGCCATATGGACAGAAATGAAGTATCAATTGAGTATCAAAAGCAGCGTCATCCTCCCTTTTCCTCTCTCTCTCTGTCTCTCCACCCCGGCCTATACCAGATTAATGAGATAGACAGAAGTCCGACCACTTGGGACATTCCTTCCCTTTTACTCCCGCTCCGTCCATAACGGCTCGCCTTCACGGTTAGCAAGGCTTCATTCTGCTGTTTTTTTTTGACACATTCATTGAACGCATGGATTCTAGTTTGATGGAACAAAATTCTCATTCCTGTGGTTTGAACCACGGCACGATGGTCCGCTCTTTGAGTCTGACGATAGGCACAATGATGATCGGTTCGCTAACTTGTCTGAAGTCAAAGAGCAAGAAGGACATATGTATACCAAGTACCATAATCTTTCTTTCTACAGTTGTCATGGCACTATGGTAGGAACGCACCAAGGCGACTAGTGTACCGCCAGAGCGTCGTCGCTAACTCGGAACATGATCCGTCTTTCGTGTGCTAAAAGGTGTTTTATTCCTCCTTTATGATTGCCTGTTGGCTGGCAGGCATGGACTGTCGACTGGGGAAGGAAGGAGGGAATGAGATCGAGAAGGTGAAACTCACCTCACAACATACCAGCGTATTTCTCGCTGTAATAAGCTTGGCGCGCTCGAACCCATCACAACGCGCGTGCGCAGTCGAGTAAAGTAAGCCGGTCTTGTGCGTGCAAAAGAATATCATGCAGGCCTCGTGTTTACCATGGCCAAAGGTCAGTTTGCTGCAGGAAATTCTCCGCACCTTCTCCCCCCTCCCCTGACACGACCCTTAAAAAAATCCTCCCAATCCAAACTAACCATAGCCACCAATCTAGGTAGACAGTGTCTACTTTCAATTACACCCCCTATGTCATTGTGCGTAAGGATGCGTACTACTTGACTTCGCGTACTGCTCACACGTTTCCCTTGATCCCTTACCCCTTCAAAGCAATCATGGTTTTGTCAAAAAATCTCCGAAATTGTAAAGATAAAGTGAAAAAATTGGAGTTTTAAACGTCGGTCATTACAAAAGAATCCTGAATATCATTAATCAAATCTTCTGTAAATGCGCGAGTAATTTTGAAAGTCACATTTAGTTATATTTAAGGATATTCGCCCTCCGCACATGACAACCTCGAAAATCCGAATCATTAATGAATAGTCCGATCTTCTAATCACTTTAAATTGTCTGATGAAAACAAGGGTAAATAGTTCATATTTTTCCAAGCAAATTAAAAGCGCTAATTCAAATATTACAATTCACCGTTTTTTTAAAATCTCCCAGAATTTTTGCTTTTAAATTGTGCAATAGGGTAATGGCTACATGACTTTGTAAGATCAAGCAATTACTAAACGTAATTTAGTGTCCATCCTTGCATCACAGATACAAAGTAAATATTGCGCTTGAAAACGGGAGCCTTTGACATTAAATCATGCTACTCTTCTAGTTATTACATCTGTTCCGCCGGGTTTAAGTCCATTAATAGAACTGGGTTTGCAGAATATTAGGGGTGCAAAATGATGAAATGGGCATACATTTCAGCCAGCACTTTTCTTATATATATGAATATGCTTTTTCACTCATAAGCGACTTTTCGGACATTATCTGAGTGTCATTGAGTAGACTTTGTCCTATCACGCAAAATTTTGGTCTCTGGCCAATCAGCGCATTAGAAACGTCGTCCAATCAAGTTGCTTCTTCGGCATATTGTTAGATCGATTTTGATAATCCCTGATCACGCCCAGGAAGAGCTGCCACCATTCCAAAGGCTCAAATCATTTTTGGCGGAATGAGTCCGTCAATCAGATGGATAAACTCTATGGAAATGAATCCCACCCGAACGAGGATCACATGTGTGCAGGTTGCGGCCCCTTCAACGACAATGGAAGCTCCCGAATACTGGCTCTGGTACCGCTCTGCACCGGTCTCGCCGGCACTGTGGGAAATATCGGAGTTCTTGTCGTCCTGCTTTTCACATCCTCTCTCCAGCCTCTCCAACATTCCAGTAACCAGCCTCTTTTCATGCTAAGTCTCGGTTTTTCCGATTTGGCTTCGGCTCTTTGTTTTATCCTATTCAGTTCCCGTTATGCTCTCCTAGGTCGGGGGCCAGTGGATCGCTGGGAATTGGATATTGGTGCTGGTCTGCTCTACTGCTTGCTCAATATCAGTCTCGTCAGTACTATCTGCATCGGATTGGATAAACTGGTCCACGTGACTCAACCCTTCGCTTACGCACGCTACTGGACACCTAGGAGGTGTGCCTGCTTCATCCTCACTTACTGGCTCCTATCGCCCATTCCTGCAATTCTGCCCTCACGTCTGGCCTCCATTCCACACTACTTTTACAAATTTGACAAACGCACGCTCACCTTTCTGACTGTACACGACTCTCAGGTCTCCAGCCTCTTCATCTGGCGGGCCGTTCTCTTTTTTGCTCTGGTTCTCCTATTTTTGATTGGCTATTTGGGTCTGTGTATAATTATTCGGCGTTTCGCGGCGCCGCCTGAATTTCAGCCGAGGCGAACTTCGAGGCCTCAGCGACAACAGCAGCAGGTGGCATTGTGCGTCACTCAGGAAACCAGCGTTTGCGCTCGAAACACTTTGGTCCACCGGTCCTCGGTCAGCCTGAAAGGCACAAAAACCATCGGACTAGTCATTATGGCCTTCTCCATGCTGTGGTTCCCCTACTTTGTGTTCCTATTACTGGACGCTTACCGTGTAACGCATGCGGCACAAGAGCCCTGGAGTAGGCGATCAGATCGGAGCGCCTGTTCATTCGGTCGGCGTGCACGAGATTTCATCCTAATATGGCTTGCCATGTTACACACCTGTACAAATGTGCTCATCTACTATGCGACTTATAAACCCTTCAGGAAGAGTATGGTAAGACTGGTAAAATTGCATAAACAGGGATGTTAGCGGCCTACGATTGCAGGTCTGGCAGAACTGCAGCCGAGAGTGACCACCAGTACCAAAAATAACTACTTCAAGCACATTATTGTCGATACTCTATCAGATTCGGTGGAGGACGTGGAGCCAACAGAAGCCTCATGAACGGATGGAGTCGGCGTGTTGTGAGAGAAATGAGAGGTTCATAGTTTGTATGTGTGTACGAAAACTTTTTACACTTTATGTGAAGTAATTTTAACTGCCTCAAATATCCACTGATATCTCTTCTTTTTTATAGTTAACAACAGAAGGCTGTTTGGAAAGTAGCTTGTTTTTGCATTTATCTCATCATAAAATTTTTACAAGCCCTTTGATCAGCGTACCACACTGAGGACATATGCATGGTATATTTTAAAACATTTTTACTTGAAAAAAATTTTCTACAGATGACCAGATGTGCTGATTGGGAAAGTAGCGGCGATGTCAACGAAAGTGAAATATTAAAGGGATGAAAAACTAAGGAAATGGACAGCAAGCTGCAAGTTATCTCAAGGTTTAAATATTCCGCAGAGTGTCTCGACAATGTCACGAAAAACGCACGCAAAATAATAAAGTTATGACATGCTCAGTAGACTTTCTTGACATAATTTCGGCCTATTTAGGAGTTAAGTGAAAACCTGGGTGTTAGTTAGGAGCAGAGAACATAAATGAGATTTAAGCCATCTGCCTGTGAGCAGAAACTACTATCTAAAACATTTGTTTATTTAATGACGTAATTAATGACACATGCCAAAATTTTTAATAGAAAACTAGTTCAAACAAATCGACCAAAACACTTGCCTATATTTGAAAGAACCCTCACTTATACGAAAGCGGAAAATAGCAACGACCTTAAAAATATCCGAGAGGCCAAAAAAACGAAAATCAGTCTTGAGTGAGTCACCTTAATCTTTGAATATACACAAAGCGGTCCATGCAAATCTAGGTAGGTAGTAAAGTATGCGCAACATAGTGTTTAAATTGTGTTTTGCATGGTTTTTACTTAAATCTCCATAGAAATTAGTAAACCATTAAGTCTGGCGGTTATCTAAGTTCAGAAGATGAAGATGCGATCACCGGAACAAGAAATTTATTTGCCTAAGTGTCTAAGTGTCTACAAATTGATCATAGGTTCTGAAAATGTTCAATGATACTTTTACGCGACGTGTACTATAGTTAACTAAGACATAGAGGAGTTCGTCAGATTTCGGAGGAATGCGCGTATCAGGAATTCGAGTTTTTATAGGAACATTCTTCATGGCGCCAAACAGTGAATAAAAGAACTGGAATATAATTATTAGATGCAATTTTAAGTTTGCTCTCTTTTGCGTTTGAGGAAAATTGTAATTGATTGGCAGCGTTTGAATCCGCTGAGCGATTTAGTGTCCTTTTAATGTCAGTGGGTACTTTCCCAATACAACCGCAAGAATCAAGAAAAAATTCTTCTGGTAAAATCCTAATATAGACTTTAGTTGCGATGGCGTCCGTTAAGCTCCAGTGCTAGCAAGACTTCGGCAAATACTTTACGGGTTTTAGTTTTTGTCAAAAAGGCCCAAAAGAGAGGTTCTGCACTACATGCCTATCAAAACCTTTACAATAAAATGTTTTTTGACAGTATTTGCCGAAGTAAAGGCTCATGAGCATTCTTCCTACGCAAATTCTGTCGCCGAAAGCACATACATTCTTAACGGTGATCAGTAACGAAAGTGCTTTTTACGGATTAATAAACCGTCACTGACGCCTATCTTAAAAGGACCTTCGTCGACTACTTCGCCAATGAATCTCCATGCAAATCACCTCGTTTTAAATTAAAGTCGAGGAAAAAATAAAAACCGTTTTAGCTAGCCTCTTCTTTTTTTCGAATTATACCGATCTCGTGAAATGTTGGCTGAAATTCTGAAATGCTTTTCCGATTAGGAAGGATTACTTGGTCACACTTGTAATACTGATTATCTTTCGGCATGGTCTTATAATAATTCGGACTTGGCAGAAAGTCAGCTTTTGAATAGGCGGATTTTCGATCTTCTGCAGAAACCGTACTTGGTAAAAAATGATGGTTTTGCAAATTCAAATATAGCTTATAGAAACCACAAACAAAATATGTTTTCATTCAGTCAATTAATAGAGAATCACGTCTTCTTTGTATTTTATACTCAAGAAAACAGCATAATTAAGTTTTAAAAAAAGTTTCAAGTAATCAGGCTCTTTAAGACCTCACAATGTTCATTCACATAGCATCGTACCACGCCGTTTACCACAGTTCATCATGAAATGTACAACACAGTTCGCATACGTTGCAAAATTTTATGGACATTATGATGTCATTTAATGGCATATAAAAATGCGTGATTTTCTTTACGCTTAAAGCAAACACCTTGTAGACTAAAATCCTTAAGCGCTAATGCAACGAATGATCGGGTTCTAAATGATTCGGCTATTAAAAAACTTTTTAAAACCTACTAATACTTCTCCCTTGAGTATTAACTATAAAGAAGACGTGAGTATCTATTACTGGACTGAAAGAAAGCTTATTTTTGTTTATGGTTTCTATGAGCTATATTGGAATTTGCAAAACCATCGAAAATCAACGGGAAAAATGCGTGCTACTTACAGTAGATGTGCTAACTCATGAAATGTCAATCAAAATTTCGAAATGCGTTCTCGTTTCGAAAAGATAAATTAAGTAGTGTTGTAAAAGCAATCATGATGCAGCATAAATCTATAATGATCCAGTTACCTCAGATTATCGTCTTTTGAAAGAACTTATGTTCGGCTGCATGCAAAATCTATAGTCTGCAAAAAATGACTACTTAAGTAGTATGAAATTTTCTCATTGAATTTCGATGCCCTTGAATATTCAATTATATTTCATGGAAAACATGCATAAAAATACTCATTCTTTAATGTGTTAACTCATTAAACACTTGCATAAAATCTGTCATATTTACTATGACAAGGGAAAGTTTGTTACCAGATAATGTTTCAGAAAATTATAAAGTCTGACTTTTGCAAAACGTTTTTGAGATAAGCCACTTGTAAAGCGATATGCTTCCGCAGGCAGTTTGCTTTGCTAAACTCGACCGACTTGAAGATGGTCAACGCTATTTCTGTTTAATCCAAATTTCTCTAATTTTGTGGGAGTTTTTTTCTTTGGCCACTGCTAACATTCAGTGAAAGTCCTTTGTCTTCCAGTTCGTGAGTCTTTCCCACCATGAATTAAATGATTAAGGGCTTGAAGTGTGTTTTTTAGTCTCATTCGTTCGAAAACTAATGTGATTTTTTATTTTATCGAATTTTACTCAGTTCAAGTCCGTTTAAATATAGCGCCAACACAATTCGTTGGCGTATGAAACGAAATTTATAAATAGTTTTTAACTCTTAAAAAGGAATTTAACAGGTTTATTTTGGTCCCAGTCTTTAATGTTGTTTTAGACTTCTTTATTTTGCGCTTTTTTAATCAAGTTGTCATGAATTTTCTTTATTAATTTATATTAATTTCTAAGTTAACGAATTGTCATTTAAAATGACAATGTAAAACTAAATACCCTTACATCTAGCTCACAAGACTGGTTTTTATTAGTGCATTAATACCAATACTGACAACTCGCAAGGACTTTTGGAAACGTTTTTATGCATATTTTTTAGACGTTTTTTTAGTGGTCAGAAAACAAGGCGTTAACTCCAAGCCGGAAAATGCTGTTTTTGTGCATCGTAATCAGAAAATGTGTTGAAATTGCAGTTGGAGCCTAGGCTGTCTTCATGTTTTCTGTTTTCATATAGATATGTTTATTTTTAAGAGGCGGAGTACATATCCTTTAAGAGCACATTATTTAATCACAACCGGCAAGTTATGCAAAAATACTACCTAATGTGAAATAATGGACAGAATAATAAGATGAAATGTGAAAAACAGAAGGACCTTTGGTCATCATTTGTGTGTTAGATTAACGTCTTGTGAGATATAACCTCGCCTGAACAGCAACTAGTCAGCTTTTTGAGAAAGAAAATGGAACAAAAAAAGTCTACAAAAGCCTTCTGTTCCAAATTTAAAACACTATTAGATTTGCGGATAT